AAGTAATCGCCACATTTCAGGCCAGCAGCGGCTGCAATTCTGTGGTAAATGACGTACACACCTAAGGTTGTGTACTCGGCAACCTTTGTGAAGGCACTCTTGGGATCCACCTCAAACACAACAGGAATCCACTGGGACGAAAAGCCCTTTCTAAATCTAAGATCCCCATCATTCAGTCAGAGCAATTGATATTGGCAAAATACGTTTAACTTTAAAATAACATTTGTTTAGCAATGATAGAATAAGGGTCCATCTAAATTACAGAACTAATATTGCATAATCCATAAGTATTAAAGCTTTCATTTCTTGGAACTGATGTGAAACCTCGTAAATCTTAGAAGTATTTTTCATCTGCAAGTGTCTTCAATTCTTCTCTCAGACACTCTGCATGTAGGAGTATGATGAATTGATAACCCCTCCAAGAATAAATGGAGAGGCATCGTGGGAGCAAGTAAAGTGTGAAGAAAATCATGCTCTGAATTTCTTGCTCACAGAAAACAGCGACTAAACTCTCTTTGACATCAAGGAGGGCCTGGATTTCACCCAAGCTCCCTCCAATACAACTGTCTGAGCTTCAGATCTTGTCTCAAACACAATCTGTCCACGTGTCCAAGCAGTTTGTGCAAAAGGAATGCCCTGAAGCTATAAATGGAAACTACTCCACTGCACAACCTTATATCACCAGGAAACAAAGCACATGGAATATTCAGCACAAACCACCTTCGCAGATTTACAGACCGATAAGGCTAAAAAAGTCAGGTCAAACACGGAGCAGGAAAGATAAAATGGCTTCAGTATCTACCACTTAATTAGAGTAAGACCCGGAATCATAAAGAGAAAGAGTTTTGCAATGGTGGAGCAAGTTGGAATACAATCTAACAAAAATTGCATAAGAACTATCAAAGCCCTAGCCAGCTATGCAGATAACAAGGACGTAATTGAGTCTGAGGTTAGCATTACTAATTTACTTAATACAGGTTTTGAAGAAGATGGCATGTACGTCACAAGATTTTTATGATGGGCCTGGCTAATATTAACATCTATTGTAGTTGCTGTAATACATTATCTGGAAAGGGACAGAAATTAATCAAGCTGCCAGATAAGAAAAAAAGGATTACTTTCAGGTGCCAATAATCTTAAACCCTTCCTCAAGCCTCTCCCAGTACCGTTCCTCTGTATTTAGACAAAAGTTCAAAATTCAGAACTATGCCCGCAGCCGTTTTTCATTCAATTATATCTCATGGATAAAATGTTCAAAAGTGACCTATAATTTCGGAAAATGAAATCTCTAAGAGCACACTCAGATATCCAGGGACCAACTGCAGAAGTGCTGTGCACACCTTTCACTGACGCCTCTTGCTCAGTGCTCCAAACATGCTGCTTTGGCCTCATGCCTAAATGAGGATTTAGAACTCTGATTTTAAGGGGACACAGCTTCATGATTTTTCAGTAGTTAGGCTGAAGGACATAAAACAAGTATTTTTGGGGGCTTGAAGTCCATACTTAGCTTTTGGGAAAGAATCAAGTCAGCGGGAAAAAAAAGAAGTGATGAGAAAAGTAAGGGTTCTGTCTTTAAGTTGCAAGGCTTTAAAATGCTGCGGTTAATATAAAACCACCCACACTAAAATATCTTACAGAAGTCAGTAAATACATGTATGCACTCTAGGACTCCAGCCATGTTAAACTTTCTTCTGTCCTGTGTTTCACCCCTAAATGAAAGTGATTCTCCCTCTTTTCACCTCACAAAAGCAGAGCACCTGTTTCTTCCTCTGAAGAACCACAGATACACTGATATCTTCAGTATAATACATCTTTAGTGCTTGGGGTACGAGGTCTGTTTTTCTGTCACCTTGTAACTACCAAGGAAACTGATTCAGTTCAGTGATCTAATGGAAAACAATCTTTGTATGTTCATTTATTTTTTTAGATAAATTCCATTATTAGTAGCATCATTATTATTACCATATAAATATTCAGGTTCCTGAGTTCAAGAACATAAAATGTGTATTTCTTCACGCCAAAATATTTTCCAGGTGGCACTAGTCTACCCGCTGGAGTCTACCCCAGACAAGCATCATCATTCAGGTTACTCCCAACAACATTTACCCAGTGACACTCGTGACAACTCTGAGATGCCTGATCCCACAGTCTACTAAGGCACACTATGAAAACACAACTTCAGAACTGAAGAAAGCCGACAGTTGGAGGCCCAGTCCCCACCTTGCGAGGTGAGGGAGAGCAGTGCTGAGCTCTAAGCTGAAGGACTATCACGTTCAGTATGACGGGAATGCAAGAAAGTGCCCCGGAGGGTCAAGAGGTGCCATCGACTGAAGGGAAGCAGATGTTTGACAACAGGATTCCAACTAAGCGTTGATTAAAAATTCAACTTTTCAATTAGAAGACGGCTGTTTGAAGTGTGCAGAATACTCTATTTAATTGTTTTCTGCCTCTGGAAACTCTGAGAAGGAAAAATAGCTAGTGAAAAACAAGTCTTCAACACAGAGCCCAGAAATTCACAGAAATTTATACCTTTTTTTTTTAGGTAACAAAATTCGCCTACGCTTAGAACCTGAGAAGGAAAAATAGCTAGTGAAAAACAAAGCCTTCAACACGGAGCCCAGAAATTCACAGAAATTTTTACCTTTTTTTTTTTTAGGTAACAAAATTCACCTACGCTTAGAACTCTAGTATCAGTAGAGTGAATCAGAGATACTACTGACAAAGTAATAATACAGAAATTAACACAGTGAGAGTAATCAGTAATTCTACTAAAGACAAGAAAAGATTGAATGAAGGTGAAACCTGTAAGGGGAGACCCTTGACTTTCAAACATAGTTGCAAGGTACTACTGGTAACCCCTGTAACAGGGAAAGTGGAGAGAAAGGGCCTGAGCGCCGGACATTGTTCTTGGGGAAGTGTGAATGACAAAAAGCCTTGGAGATGCTGACCCTACATTAAATGTTATGCCAACTTCAGATTATTAACCCTTGATCTTTTTGAACATGTGTATAGTAATAGAATGAATACGCAGGAACCTGTACCTGAATTGGTCCCGTAACTTCACAAGGGGGAAAAAAAACATCAAGTCAAGGAAGAAAAAAAAAAAAGTGCAATGAAAGGGAAGAAAGGGAAGTAGTATGTATTTCAAACAATATTTGAAAATACTTTTAAAATTTCGCTGCCTTTTGCCATGTAATTTATTCAACAAATTGTTATTCATATTAATTATGCTTTAAATTGAAGAGACCATAAAAGGGCAAGGGTTTGTTTTTCTTTTCCGAACTCATTTTCTTAGATCTTGATCTAAGAAACAGATGAAAATACAGTTTTTTGGAAAATAAAATTCAGTAAGTCGACAGCTCTATTCCAGATAGTTAGATATCAAATGACATTACAAACAAGCATTATAATCAGCAACAGATCAGTCAACCGTATCTATTTCAGAACTTCAATTACAAGATTATCTGCTTCATATTTTATTTGGTAAAGCCTGTAAGGCACGTGAAGGGATCAAAGAGGAAAAAAAACAGGTAAGAAAGTGAAAATAAACACTATTATCAAAATAAAACACTATTATATAAAGCTGCCAGGGAATGAAACAAGGGTAAAGCAAAACTCTAATGAAAGACATCAGCTTTGTTGCTACTTGTCTATTTTACAAGTAAAAACATCTCATTGTTTTGGGGAAGCACACATCACCTTTGAGGAAAGACACCGACTTCAATTTTTATAACCCCAAGTAAACTTCTAACCAAGAAAAAACAGGTCTGATTTGGGATGTTTTTCTTCCAAAATCCCCGAGCTGCAGGTAGTTCTCCAAAAAGAAGTCAAATCCCATACCTCTCTAATAGATTTCACTCGATCCTTATTTGGACTAACTCCTAATCAGCTTGCTAGTTCTCACCTCCTCCAATTTTTTACCACTCCTTCATTTCAGCAATAGTTTGCCTAAGGTTGTCTGAAGGTGCAGATTTGGCCATACGTGAGCAGACTCCCATGCAGCACAGACACACCTAAGTAATGCATGCAGGTGAAGCAGTCATCTATGCAGAGCCACAGTGCAGCACAGGGCTACCTTCTCAGAGTAAAGCTTTCAGAAGCACGTGGAAAACCTCCCTGCTCATTTTTCGTTACATTTCAAACTGAAGTCTCACAAAAGACTTCAGATTTGAAGATGTGCACTCAGATCAAATTAAAACCAGGAAAATCTGACAACTGGCTAAGTTGCACTATTGTCAAGTACAATCAATCTGCTTGTTTGGCCAGATAAAACACCTTGGCATCTTCCCAAACTGCCATTTTATCTTCTCCCCCTCTCTTCTTTTTCTTTCTGCTTAAATGAAAGACTATCAGTCCCTGGAATCCAAACACAAGAGACACAGATACCATACAGAGCTCAGTGCTAGTTATGTCAGTACAGAAACAGTTAAAAAAAAAAAAATACATTCTGTATCCAAATTACTGGTTTACTGAATTCAAATTAATGGTTTACTGAATTCAAGTTCTCGAAAGTTATTCCTCAAGTAAGATAATCTTCAAACGAAGTAAGGAACAACTTTCATGCACCATCAGTCTTGTCTACGTAAGTTTGAAGCAATATACCTTTCCATTGCCTAAGAGAGTATGACAACACTGAAGCAAATTTAAAATCCTAATGCAAACTTCTATTAAACACTAAGCTGTGGACAACGTTAGCAGATGTCTCCATGCAAGTTCTGCCCTTGTAATGATAAACTATGCTGCTTGCAAAGATTTTAAAGATGACGACCAACTTTTTCTCTTATCTTATTAACTAACACTGTACAGTCAATATAGTGGGGAGGATCATGAATCTACTCTCCACCTGTGCTCAGAATGACTGAGTTCTAAACTAGATCCTTATAATACATATTTCTACCAGTCCAACAAATATGCAAAATGCCTCCGTCACATAACACACTGCATTAAAACGTGTTTTCAAACTCATAACCTACTGCACTCTACAACAAAGGAGCACTTACTGCCATTGTCGTCAGAATCCTCACTGCTGCTAGGAAGCCGACGTCGTTTCATGATCTCCACGGGAAACAGCAGGCAGCCTGCAAAGCAATGAGACAGCATTTAACCCAAGATAATAATACACAGTCATCAAGTTGTGTTTCTGATGGCATTCGAGGATTTACAGCACACTAAGGAAAACAAACAACTTTAAACAGCATCTGAAATATGAACTGTGAGTATCTCAAGGATGCTTAATTAGGCAGTCTTCATACAAGCAGGTGAACAAAATTGGAGAGTATCAATGACAACCCCACCAACACTTTCACCCCAAAACAAAAGCATATTTTGTTCTGAAAGGTCTTAAAATCACTAAATATCTGCAGTCAACGTGTTTAACTTCCCCTGCCCATTCTGACACCAGATTTGCAATACAATAACGTTTTTACTGCTTGAGTAAATATTTACTTTGGCTAATATGCTTTTGGAACCATTTTATTCCTGTTCAAAGTGCCAAATTTACGAAATCGAAGATTAAAGTCATCCACTTCTACATAAAAAAAAAGAAACATCAGCAGTACCATGCCAAGTTTTCCCAGATTAACTAAACACGTATCATCTATGCCCTGGAAGGCACCACCCTCTTAAGGTAAGAGAGTTACTTCCTCCTGCAGGCACATTTATTTCTAGTGCCATGCCTAACACTAACTGTTTTTCAGGAATCAGGCCACCAGTTGGTTACACAGAAGCTCCTCCAAACTGCCAGACTTCCACAATATTGAGTTGAACTGCACATGGACCAGTGATGTAAAGGCAGAAAGTTCCGTATCTTTTTAACTGCTATTCATAGGGCGTTGCTTTTTTTGCATGTATTCGCTGTGGAACGAAACCAAATTCAGAAAAATTAAGGAAGCTGTAAATAGCTAGTCAGTATTTACATGCAAAAAGCTACTAAAAACTGTAAGTTGAAGAGCAGAAAAAACATGACAAGACAAGTGCAGAAAGGCATCTCTACCATAAGTTAAACTGACAAGGACTCTAGATGCGCATCAAATCCCCTGAGTCTTTGCCTACCACATATCAATCATGATAGCAACAAGGTCTCAGTGTTCTGCTAGCAGCAAAGCCCTCATACATAGCTCTGAGGTGCTGATCTGGAAATCAGACGCTGAAACACTTTTTCGCTTCTAGGTACATACAGAAGATCTAACCTCATTTTCATGTGAGTTATCCAGAAACCTTTCAACAAAACTCTTTTCACTGACCCTTCAACATACAATTAACTACTTCAATGTCATTCACTGAGAACAGGACTCATTGCAGTGAACTCAGTAATGCTTTCAAATTTTATAAGACTCATTCCCAAAGTAAGAAAACCCAAAAAGCCTAACCAAAGCCTGACGCTATTTCCAAAAACGCACAAAAATATCTTCTTTTCCAAAAGTGGTTCAAATAAAAAGAAATGAGCATTTTTTGAAGGAATTAATTTTATCATCACTAGCAAACGACACGCAACTGAACCTGAGACTCGACTTTACACTTCCAGTGAACTTAACACAGTTGTAACAGGCCAAGCATTGCAAGATTGTCTTCTATTTCATATTATACATGCAAACAGAGGTAGGGGGAAGCCTCCCTCCCACTGACTGGAGTTCCAGAGTGGGATTTAATATGGCTGTCTTTGAAACAGGGAACAGTTCTGAGCTGCAAACTTTGCTCACTAAAGGTAAAGAGAAACTAAATGGTTCACTTCACCAAGACCTTTTGTCACCATTTCATAGAGCAAAAGTTCCCTTACAATGTCCGATGACAGAGAATAAACAATCATAAACGACAACCTCTTACAGTGCTAGAAGAATTCTCTCCAAAAGAATTGCTTTGAAGCAGACCAGAACTTTGCATGCATGGCAGACAGACACGCTGCCAATGAATAAATACACAGATCAGCCTGCACCATCAAAATAATCTGAATACAGATCTGGTATAAATGTAGCAGATCCAGAGCCAAGTTTGGATACAGTCACTTACAAAGACAGAAAGCCAACATTCAGATCCAAAACAGGCTAAGACGGAACTGAAAAATCAATTAGCTGCTACAAGCCCAAAACCGGGGTATAAACACCTATCCTGTAAGGTACTTTTTCTAGTAGTTCACATACTTCTCCTGTAACTGAAAGAAATACTAACAGTAGCAATGTAAAAGAACATACTTGCTCAGAATGGAAGTATCTCCCATAAGGAAAGTAAAGAGGATATGGAAGGAAAATAAAGAAAAATTAAGTTCTCAGAAATGTAACCTCTATATTCTTCTCCTGTAACTGAAAGAAATACTAACAGTAGCAATGTAAAAGAACATACTTGCTCAGAATGGAAGTCTCTCCCATAAAGAAAGTAAACAGGATATGGAAGAAAACAAAGAAAAATTAAGTTCTCAGAAATGTGACTTCTATATTCTTGGTCAAAATCCTCAGTTCTTCGTCCATTTCCACACGGGCTGAAAAGTACTATGCAGCGTAAAGCAAAGTAGCATAGTGTACGTACGCTGAGACATAGTCCTAAGCTTCCAATGAACAAGAAAATTTAAAATTCTGCTCCTCCACATCTTTTTGGATAAGTGTATTTTGGGTTCATCTTCTCCCAGCCATAATTTCTGCAAATTCACAAAATAAGGGAAGATGTGGAAGTTCCTCCTTCCTACGATGTGTCTTTAAAAAAACAAACATACATCTTTGTTGTTGTTGTTTCAAGGAGACAATGGTATTCAAACCTCCCAATTCAAGCACTCTCCACAGCTCTTCAGGAAATGAGAAGCCAGAAGAGAAGCCACTTTCCTGGAGTACGGAGTATTGGATAAGGCAGCTCATTTCCTTGCCCGCTCCAGTCAGCTTTCTGAAGTTGGCCACATTGAAAAGCCTGTGTTCTCAAAAGTAACATTAAAAGAAACATCCCATTTGATGAAGCCTCTGTGAGATTCCTTTATAGATGCAGGTGAAAAAAAGAGGTAAAATCCAGAGATCTCATTTTCCCTGTCTTTGAACCTAACCTGAGTTTACAGGGAGCTAAATCATAGATGGAAAAGCAGCATTTGGTTTCTTAGAGCAAGTCTCAAACCTCGTAAAATTAACCCACTAGAATTTTTGTCATTAGAAGTAATAAAACAGCTTTTTTCAACTCCTAAGATCATTTTAAACCGTTCCCACCAGATGTTCACATCCACAGTTCAGAACACACATTCTAGAGATAACACTAGAACAGCTAGTAAGAATTACAACCACATAGACTGAAATGCTGCTGCTTTTAAGGGTATCACAGTACCTCTGCCTGAAATACTATCGGTTTCTATCAGGTGATGGTGATGGCAAAGCCACACAAGAACTGCATTAAAAAGAAACACGGATTAGGGATAGTGATGGTTAGGTGCAGACTGAGGGTGCAGGCTTTCCTGTTCTACCAGACATACACATTTTCCCAGCATGTTTAGAGAATACTGTGAATTCATGTAATGCCTTTTCAATCTTCAAGGAAAAACAAAACTACAGTAACTCATTCTTCATGGGACTTCCATAACTAAAAATAAGGAGGTATTTTTATACTGGAAAAGGCAGAATAGAAAAAATACCAAACTTTTCAGTAGAATTCTTTATCACATTCTCTTTCCTTTCCTAACCTGAGATTTGAGTGGCAGCAATATTACTTTTTTTTGAAATTCTCACTCTTCACAGTCATGAAAATGTTGATATTTTTCACTTGACTTTATTTTGTCATACACTTAATACACTCGGGTGCATATACAAAGCAGCTGATCCAACTCTGATCTCCTTAAAACATACTCTGAAAGGCAGGTTCATCAAGACCAACTGTACCGCAGCTAGTTTAACAGTACAAATTGTCTGTGATCACTATGCCTGTAAGCAAAGAGAATTCACATGTAAGCATAAACAGGATAAAACATTTAATCCAAGCTTTAAGATTCACACCAATAATACGCAAAAACTATGCACTCAGCCTGCAACACTTGCAGGGCAGGAAGAGACCACCCAGGTTACGGAGCTCAACTCCCAACAACTACATGCAACCACACAATTGCTGTTTAGTCCAGAAGTTCCCACAAAACATTCACTGCACCCGCACAGGCCACCAAAGTAACTTCCCAACCCCCTTCGCAAAATGTACGCTTCTCTGAAGCAAGGAAGCAGCCAACCAAGCAGTGCCCTTGAACCCTCTATCTTCTATCACAAACATTTCTACAGCTGTTTTTCCCAAATTCTTAAACCAGCCCCAAAAGGGGATTTGCCCATATACTGTTTACCTGCAGAGTAAGCCCAGCACTTGAAAAGCTACAGACTCCAGCAGCCCAAATATAACAAAAGCTGCTGCATCACCAAGCCAAACATTCCCTGAGTTTTCAGTAACACACGTGAATTCCCAATAACCCAGCAACTTTTGTACATCGTTTCAGTTTCACTTCCCTTGAAAGATGATTGTTCCTTCCTGTTAAAGCCATCCTTTCAGAAATCAGACAGAACAACACACAGTATGCCGATAGTTATTTCTCCTAAGGACTCTGTTACAACATTTCCCCCTCTTCCCCGATAAATGGGTAAGCGGACTCAGGTAAATGCTAGCCTCCAACCCAACACAGCTTTACGGAAACAGCCATGACACTGCTGGCAATGTTACCCCGTTTCCAAGGGTGGGCAAACAAAGCAACTAAGAGCGCTTCGTGCAACCACACGCTGCACCAAATAGTACAGACGGGGCAGAGGCCGTGACTTGTTAGCCACCAGGCACCCTCAGATGAGCTAGCCATAGCACGGCAGCACTGATGAGGCTGGCACAGCTTCCACCAGGCTCTGCTGCACTGCCCCACATGCTGAAGACAACGTGCTTTACAGAGACAGGTCACCAGGGGCTTTTCCATCCCTTTCATCATGCTAGCTCTGAAAGCTAAGCTGGGTTTTACTCATTGAAGAGGTACAAACTTCAAACATACAAATGTAACTCGGGACTTACACGGTACAATTGATCAGATCATTTTTAAAGGTAAGATTACAACGCCTGAAATGTTTCTTCTGGCTACTGTATTTTGGAAAGAGCACTA